AATGGAATAAATCATGCATGATTTAAAACTATTAACTTAACAGTACTTAATTCACGGCATTTCCTTACCTAAAACCCTCTACAGAAAGATTCCTCTGTGTTAATATCTAAAGATAGCAAAATCAGGCCTGTATTATGTCTAGAATTAAGGATAACTCAAGATGTACAGGTTCCAACCTTAGACCACTTGAATGTTTGTGCAACGCAGTTATACCCAACATAAAATATATAGTCTGTGAGAGGCAGAGAAAAAGCCTAGCTCTCTATCTAGATTAATACTTTAAATAGTAGTATTTTTCTCTTTTTGTGGACATGCACAGTATTTATAACCTAACCAGAAGCTGTGATTCTCCAGACATCACAGTACACAAACATTTAATTAAACATTATCCTAGCACGAAGGCACAATAGGGCCAAATGAAGAAGAGCAGAGACACCTGGGTTACCTCTGAGCGTCCGATCGCATGCTTTGGTCCTGGAAGCAGTGTGACCATGATAACACAGCGCAGTATTTCTCAGATTAGGCTTTTGTGAGCAAAATTCTGCTGTACTAATCACACTTTACAACAACGAACGTGAATACCGTACAAGATAGTGCAGGACCTCACTTTAGCTTTCTGGTTTGGAAAACAACATGGAAATCATGCTTACTCATGAGCACCATTTAGCCAAGAAGTAATTATATCATACTGCCTTTCCAGATTCAGAGCTGTGAGCTCAGCTGTTCAATGGCTTTCGAGACAGAAACTGGATTTACTACACAAAGCAGTTTTGCAACAAGACTTTGTTAACAGCTGACTTCAAGAAAGTGCTGCTTGCCAAAAAGCTTACCTTTCTCTCTTTCAGTAACTGTTTGTAGCCACTGGCACCTAGAGACAGAAGTGTAATGAGGACATCTAAGGAAGGAGACGCAGATGCTCTTCCTGAAAAAACCAATATACAGATAAAATTGACAAAAGTAAATTTTATGTGAAAGAAAGCTGATCATCAATTTTTCTACAGTTATTTGGTATGGATGAAATCAGTCCATGAACTACTTACCTGGATACATTTTGCTGATCTCCTGAATAAAGGACGCATTGAAGCCAGCAATGATAGCACCACCTACTGGAACCATAAAATTTTTGTCCAAGCTCTGAACAAAGGCATCTATTCTGCCTACTCGAGCACCCTTTATCAAAAAGGAACAAACAAAAAAAAATACACAGCATACATTAGAAAAAAGGAAACATGTGATAGCATCATAATTACACAGCAATGTAACTGAAAAAAATATAATACCTAAAACACTCAGATACTGTTTGTGATGAAAAATTAAAAGTCATAATATTACCTTTTCATAGCATTGCTCACTATTATTACCATTGTCTGCTTGCATAGCACCTTAAAAATTCCTATTTTGCTATGATTTAAAATATTGATTTTAGTTCCTGCAAGTCTAAATGTAGCTTATTTTGAACAACAACCAAAAAGAAAAACCCTTGGAATGTAATGGGAATTATACAGTTAAAACTGTCCAACCCAAAACATTTCACAGATTCTCACAGTAACGGGCTACAGGTTAATGCTTCATTAGCAAAGAAGAAGATTTTTCTTGATACCTGTATAAATTTGCACTAAAACAAGTCGGCTGTGACAGCACTCCTTTTAAGGCTGCTTGCAAAATCCAGATCCAGGTAACTTCCTATAGCAGACTTCCCCCTTCCCAGAAAACCAAATGTCCCTATACCTAGCCACTCAGATATTCTTGAAGGAAAAAACATAGATTCTGCAGTACATCTTCAATTTGAGTAATATGCTACTATGAACTGTACAATTAAAAAGTATGCAGCATAACAGAATCTGAAAAGTATATTAAAGAACATAGATATTAAAGTATATTCTAATACATACATATTAAAGTACTACATATTTAAACCAAGAAATAGAAACAGAGTTAATAGCTATGGCAAAAACAGTGAAAAAAGCAGATCCAACTAAACCAAAATTATTATTTCTATGTTTTAATAGTTTAGTGCATGGGAGATGGGAAGAACCACTCCGAGTTTGTCAGCTTTTTGATGGGAAGATGAATGCCAGCAGCTATCATTTGATTTAATTGATAGGAGACCACCAGAGGAAAAGCATGACAAATGAAATGGTCTCAAAAGCTCTTTCCTCTGATACTCTTGCAAGTTCTGTTCACACTGTGCTCAGCATGTACATATTCCTAAGTATTCATTAATAACTACTTCTCATAGACAGTACATTTTCTATCACAGGAAATACATTTCTGTAAATAAATGTAAAACAAATCAGAACTCAAATGTATACATTTGCATAACCAAAAAACAAATAAACAAAAAACCCTCAACCAACCTATCAAGAAGCCAAGAAATAACAAAGCAACACAGTAACAGTTCTATTTGTAGCTTTGTAGTCTGAAAAGATTATCATTAGATACATTTCATGCAGTAAAACTCAGCAATTCCACAGCCCCCTTCATGTCAGAATTTCACTAAACTTGGGCAAGTTAAATACAATAAATATGTAAAAAGTACATTACAAATAAAGCATATGCTATTTGCTATTTCACATATCACTTTGAGTTTCGCCAGATTCCTTCAGTCTCTCAGGACTTAGAAATGCCAACATGACGTTCCTGTCATAATTATTTATCAAGTTGGTCTGTGCCCAGTCAATAACTTAATGTCTTCTTAATAAGAAAAAAAACGGCCAGCATATTTTAAATGCATAATAGTTCAGGATCCCCTGGATGCTGTTACAAAAATATCCCCCTATTATTTTCATAAAGGCAACAGAGAGAAAAGAGAAACAGTGAAGAAACAGTGCATGTACATTGCAAGAAGCAAAAAAGCAGGAATTCTAAGTTTCCTGGGTGATCTTAGATACTAAGCAACCTCCTTTTCAAACTAAACAGGAACAGAAATTAAACTTTTTCGAACACAACATTGAATTCAACCCAGTTTCCTCTGCCATTCTCTGTGGCAACAATTTTAACAGTGACATCTATCAAGTGTAGCTGTAGAATCTTGTACCTACAATTGAAAGTCTCAAACTCGCATTCTGTTGAAGGATTAATCCCTATTCAAGTATGATCTATTATTTTATTTTTAGTTAATAAGTTTATGAAACATTTGAAGAGATCTTATTAAGAACATTTTTCCATTATGAAAGACACTTCAACAAAAGCAAAATCTAAATAAATTTGGGTTTAATACATAAAAAGCACATAAAAGAAATAACAGATATTATTTTTAAGTTCTATTTCCCTCTGCTCTGCTTTCTCAGAAAATTGTTCAAATATCAGACATGCACGGGATTAGTCTCAAAGATGTGAAACACCCAATAAAATTTGCTAGTGTTGTCTACAATCAGAGATTTACATATAATTGTTAAAAAAATTAGTGTTTGCAATTCATAGCTCCTACCTGCTGGATAAGATGCATACATTTTGAAGACTGAACTCCATACGCATTGTTGACAATATGGGGAATGTCATAATTAGCACAAATCACAGCCAGTTCCTCCAGCCTATGAGCATAAAATTGTAATTTAGAGAAGCATTGATAACTGTAACTCATGTTACAAATTAGACTATTAGAACACTGAAAGGTCTACAAGGAGGTCAGAACAAGAAAAGAAACTATTTTGATTAGTACCTCAAGACAGCACTTGTCACCTTAAGCTATAAAGTTTAAGAAGAAAAATCTGTTAGCTTTTACATATATGTCAAATTGGTGACCTGGGCTGAAATTTTTCATGCTTCACTGAAAGTTTTGCCTGGAAACCAGTAAATAGATCCCAAATCATTCTGCTTCATATATAAGCATTTTTTAAATACTACTTTAATGATAACTATCAGAGCTTTAGCTATTCACACTTTTTTTTTTCCTTTTCTTCTAATATTCAACCTGAAAATGGCCTAATGGAAGTTTCAAGATGTGTCTTGTGAATTAAAAGCATCATATAACAGGAAGTTTTTACATGCTTCTGTTTATTTCAAAGAACTAATATTTTGGCCCTTTGGCTGAAATCTTACTTGTGTATTTCAGATAAACTGATTAACAGAAGAGGTACTCTTCAAAGGAATGGAGAGCCTTAAAACGTCTGAATGCGGAGATCAACAAATCAAAACTTTGTTCAACGGTTTACTCAGAAATAGAGACAACTTCACTTGCCTTTAGAAATCCCTGAAATCACAGTAGGCTCAGCCTGGACTGATTTCTCAATCAAACTAGGATTTATGTGGGTGCATAGGTCATTTTGGATAAGGGCCTTCAGCATTTTAAACACGCATGTACTTAGTACACTTTTCTGAAGCACTCCAATCATGCTCCATTTAAAAAAAAAAAAACCCACCAACTTCTTGATTTCCCCCAAACTTGTGAATATATTTTAGAAATAGAATCTATTTGAAAAAAAAAAAAGTAATATATAATCATTTAAAGTGATTATAAAGGTAACATTTTTTAAAAAAAAAAAAAAATCAGTAAACTCTAAACCTCCAATGCATTTTTACTCTATCTCCTTCTGTACAGCCTCTCACTGTAATTTACTGACATTCATATAAAATGTGACAGAGTATGAAAACATTTTCCAAGAGGTGACATTCCTTTGCATTCTATTTCTATTACATTGCCTAGTGTTGTTTTGTAACACAAAATTCAGCTGCAAACCTCAGAACCTGAATTCTTAGGAAAACATCATCATCACTGTATTATTCCTAAAAAAATGATAAGTATTTCATGATTAGGAAACACCAGTAGTATGATGTATGTATTGATCTTCTGCAGTCAAGACACTTGTCAGGAGCTGCATGTGCAATAATTTTTCACATTTATCAACATCCTGAATCCTGAACTATGCAACATTAACAGACTACTTCAGGAAACATAACACTACACAGGGCAAAGTTTTTGCCTTCTGATCTGCTGATCTTAATCAAATTCATTCCTCACCTTCCACAGAGACTCAAAGGAAAACAGTTCCCCTCTTACATGCTACTGTTCAAGTGCAGGTAGAGAATTTCACCAAACTTGAAACATAGAGGGTGTACTGCTGCGTATGTTTGTCTTTCTTACCTCCTGAGACTTTGAGGAGCAATAAGCTAGCTTCTACAAGTACTGAAAACTGAAAAGTCTTTTTATTTTTCCTGAAAATATTCTGTTGAACAATTAGATCCATATTACAACACAGGATGAGAATGCTACAGTTTGAAAAGCGTATGGGAAGCAAACAATTACACACAGCAGTGGTCTGCTTCCAAGTCTTAAAATGAACTATTAAAAGTGCTGCTAGTCATATCAGAAAAATAAAGCATTAATATAAGTATGGCTACCACTCGAGTTTTTAAAAGTCACAAATAGGACTTACAAAATATTTTCCAATTTATTCTTTCTTTCTCTCCTGCTAGTGAAAGTTCATAAAAAGAAAGCTTTCCTCTTTCTTCTAATATGAAAGTAATAAGATAGAGAATTCTGCTTAGTACATAAACTAACTGAAAAATACACTTTTTTTCTTTTAGTTCTCTTTCAAATACCGTAGTTTTAGAGACAACTCCCAGCAACAGCAGGTGAAAGACTGAGAACTGATGTCTCTCCGAGGAAGGCGGTTTATACACTAGTGAATTTTTCCCATAAAGTTAAATAATACCTCAAAGTAAAGCTATAGGTACACAGGTGTAAAACCCTTACCCTGACCTTTTAACAGTCCTAAGCCACCTAAAATTTTAAAACACCACCACAACCAAAGTGTTACAAATGCAAGATATTTTAAAACAGACATTTAAAATGGTAACCTCCAGAAATGCTGTACAGGATTTTCCTTCCTGTAGGAAGATGAATGTTATGGCCTTCAATAGTTGACAGTATCCTTTAAATAGAAAGTGCCTTCAAATCCTCCTGTATCTGTGGTATATCATAACACAGTGCCACTACCTAATAATTCATCTCTTAGTTGCAGAGAACAAAACAATCACATGTCAAAAAGAGGAGGCAGATAAGGAAAAGATTCATTTACCCAAGCTATAAAATAGACCATACAGTTTTGATAGCTGTGATTTAAGTTAGCCAATAAATCTGCAAGTCAACGTCAAGCAATGTTCATAGCATTCTGACAGAATTATATGGTTTAAATTTCCCTCTAGCAACTGGGTTAACCTACGCTAAATACTGGGTTTTTTTAAAGGTAGGAAAACAGAGAGACATATATCTTTACTTGCCATGTTGCAGAGTCAATAACGTTTCTTTCCTACACTTGCAAATATTAAACTAAATTTTCCAGGTAACATAGTAATGAACAAAAAAGCATGCACTGCAGAGGAACCCTAAACATAAGTCTTTTCAATTTTGTGATAAATTAAAACCAGTTGAAATGGAACAACTGAGACACTACATTTAAAAGCATGTAAAAAAAGACATCTTACTAATATCTCATACTTCAATGTACTACATACAAGCCCATAAAAATATACCTGTTCAATTGTAAAACCTAAGCAATTTGCTCCTTGATACTTATTTTCCTAAGCAAATAGAGAAAGCAGGTTTTGCAAGTAACAATGGTGCTCATTTTGGACAAATGACTCAATATACCAAGTACTTTAGGCACCTCTACTCCCAACCTGTCATTCTCAGATTGAGACGTTTCTCAAGTATTTCATAACCAAGCTACACATTGAAATAATGTCTCAGATGCTCTATTCCCCGTCCATAATGTTCGTCACAGCTTGAGCTAGTGTTTGAATGACATCTTTGTAGCAACTACAGAAGTTATGTATATAGACATGTAATATTAGGAAAGAATGCAATGTATTTTAATCTTATTTTAATGGTGATTTAACAGCTGGAAATAAGCAGGAGCACCATGCAATCAGGCAGCAAATGTTCAAACCAAGATAATTTACAGCAGGGCAAATCATATGTTATACTTGTACAGCATATCTGCCCTGGATGCTTCCAAGAGTTTCCTTATATCAGTGTACCTTAATTAGCCCTATAAACATCAGTATAATACAGAAAGAGTAACTCAAGCAAAGATTTTAAATTTAGCTGTAGCTTTTTTTTTTTTTTTTAAAAAAAAGCTATTAACAGCCTAGGAAAATTCATTATTGGCTACAGGAGAAGAGTAGGAAAAGCAAGAGTAGTATTAAAACATGGAATTAGCTATGGAACTACATTTCCTGAACTACGTCTCCGTGAAAGTCTACTTTTACTACTTCTGTGAAATGATAAGAAAACCACTGGCAAAACAACATTCGTTCCACCACAAGAGATCATCATTAACTTCAGTTATATGACAGAAGAAAAAGCTTCTGTGTTATTCTCACTTTTTTAATATACTTTTCTGAAAGTGGAACATTGTTTCAACCTGCTGTTTTCCTTAAGCAATGGGACTAAAGTATCTTTACTAATTGTTGGCAGTAATTAAGCAATTTAGAAAGATGGACATCAAAAACAAGGAGGGGTTTTTTGGGTTTTTTTGGTTTTTTTTTAACAGTAACAAATAACATACTTCTTAAAAAGACTACTTACCTATCAGGCACCCTTGGAGCAAAGCAAGACGTTGTAGAATGCACACAAAGAATATTTTCAGCACCAAGAGCCTTGACTTTAGCCTCTACTGCTTCGATGTCTGTCCGTAGCTCATCGCCTTCTAACACATTTTCTATCACCACAGGCTCAAAACCTGATCAAAAAAAGCAAGACCTGAATGCATGTCATCAAATCTCTGACTAATTGTGGGATTTTAGTTCCAGTATAAATCTGAAAAATCTTATTGCTTCTGTTGTTTTAACAAATTCTTTCAGACTTGAATTAAGAACACATACATAAACTGGTTTACTGTACAATGTCCATATCGCTAAAAACTATAATAATATTCTTGTTAAATACTGGACTCCAGACAAAAGCTTACCTTACATTCTTTGCATGCAACAGGTTTGAAGACTGCTTTAAAAACAGATTAACTTCTTCCCTCCCAATTAAAGTGTTTGAATGGCATTCTTGTAAAACATTAGCATACTAAAACAGCCTCTCTAAAAAGGGATGCCATTATTATATTTATTATATTGCAATGCAATAATGATTATTATGAATTGGCTTTCATCATAAGCCTCTGCCTTATTTAATTCTATAAACTTCCAAACTACTTCTTAAAAGACAAAAATGTCCATATTTGACCTCATTTTGAAAGTGAACTTTCTCATATCAAAATCCAAGCTATTTCCCAAGTCTTTTATTTTATTTTTTTAAGTTTCCACTTTAAGTTTGTATTTAAGATGTACAAAAGCTGAACCTGGTAAGGTTGTTTCTCAAGGACACGTATGAGAAATGTTTGAAAAAAAGGAAGTTATCCCCTTCTTCTAAATGCTGGAATGTTTCCAGTTTTGGAATGGGCTGCTCAGGAGGGATGTTGAAAAACCAGAGAAGGTCCATCAGTGGGCTACCAAGATGGGCGCAGTATAGCACGCACAGCTTAGAAAGAAAGGGTGTAAGAGCTAGACTTGTTAAGCCTGAAGATGCTAAGAAGAATATCTAGTAGCAGCCCTCAACCATCTGAAAGGGAATTACAAAGACACGAGAGAGAAACTCTTCTTGGTAGGATATAGTAAGAGGCAACAGCAACAAATTTTGGCTTGAGAGGTTCAGAATAAACAACAGGAAAAACTTTTTTCATTCAGAGGATAGCAAACACTGGTACTGCTATCCAGAGAGATTGTGGAATCTCCATCCTCAAAGATTTTCAAGATTCAGCTAGACAAAAGCATGGTTGACATAACCTAGCGCTTAAAGAGTTTTATTTTTTAAAGAAGGAAGCCTGCCGTGGTAGTTGCTCAAATCTCTAGCTTATAAGTAAATCAGAAAGTTGTTTTTCTTACAGAATAAAGCACTGGAAGCCATATATGCCCTTCCCCAAACAGGTGTGGCATGGCAGCCACATCATGCTAGCTGAAGTGACTATTACTTTCTCAAAAAAGAGAGATGTTCAGTTTACCGAATGAAAGTAAAAGAGAAGGGGGTGGGGGTGGGAATTAGGATTGATTTCCAAAGCAGTGTAACATGGCAGCAGCTATGTGAGTGTTTCCCTCATGGCTTAACACTGACATACAAAGCTCAAACTCTACAGAAGAATTTGGACTAGAGTGACGTATTGACCTTGTTAGTCCTAGTCTGGTTTTCAATTAGTGATCCAGAAGACAGAAATGGCATTTAATAGATAGTTGTTAGATATCTGGTACCTGCTTGTCTCTTATTTTTAGCTGATAAACTTGCATGTTTAGTTGATAAACATTACTTAATTTTGTGATAGCTGTCTTAACTATTAAAAAAATTAACAGATCAATGATATTTCCTCACAACTTTCTCCATTATAGACTTAACTTGCTTAGCTTGTTGTTCTAAATTGAGCATAATATTCTGAAAACACTCCCACTTTTTTTAATATACATGTTCTATTTATTCTGATCTGATTCCTTTCAAACACCTCTGCACCCTACCTGGACAGAATCCAGTCCCTGGTTCCAACTGTTTAGTCATTTCTATCTAATGATTCTTTTATGCAAAAAATAAATGTGTCCTAAGAACTAGAACCAGAATTTATGCCACCACCCACTGGTATGTGCACTGAGCTGGAAAATTATGGTCTCCCTTACTTGCCCTTTCCTTGATCCCATGCATTTGTCTGCAGGAAGGGACAGCTTCAGTGCAGGGGTAGACTTGAACCCTTAGCTTACTTATAGACTGGTAAACAAGGAACTCCATTCGAGAGAAATTAAGGTTTAAACTAATAAAGGCACCAAACTCATTTCCTGAGTGAGTGGAGTAACACTGCAAGATTAAAAACAAATAGGACAGCTAACACTTCCCATGTTCTAAAAGAAAAGAACGTGCAAATCGGACAGCTTGTCACCTCTGATCATAATTCCTACAACACATATGCTTTTCGCATAAATCTAAGAGAGAGATTTGAACCATGAACCTTGGTTTTACATAATTCTCAGGAGAGCAAATGAGGCATCTCATTCAGAATTAGCTGTAACTTCCTTAGTATTGTGTTTGCTATTGACTACTTTATACACCTCTGTACCCCAGTATACGCCTACATTTTAATTTTACAAGGCATTAGGAAGAAAACTCCTATGTGTGATTGCATATTAGAAATCAGGAGTGTACAAATAAAGCACTTAGTACTACTATGCATTAGGCCTTTTCTGGATCTTACTGCAAGCAGATGAATTGATCACTCTGCTAGATGAAGTTTTGTATCTGTTAGAACACACTGTGTAATCAGTCAGCTCCTTCTTACCTGCAGTTATCATTGATTTAAAGCAAGATTTCTGGTCTATACGTGGCCAGATAATGTATTTTGCCTTTGGTCTCTTGTGCCGCAACGTTAAAAAACACAGAGTTAGACTCATGCCAGTTGCCATAGGAACCACAAAGCAATTGGTCACTGTCCGGACACCTGCACATAAAAAGCAAGTCAGAAATGAACATGAAAAACCCACGACATGCCCCCCACAAATGAAAGATATTTTCAGATTTACACCTACCAGCCAGCTTTATAATATCCAGAACTACCGAATTAGTAAGTTTGTTCAAAAGGCTAGACCCTGCAGCTTTAGGCTGGACTGCAGAAATATCACCTGACCTTCCAATTCCATGGATCAACCTAAACAAAAAAGGTTGAAAACATACATCAAGATTTTTCACATCCCAAAGCAATAGTTCTTGCTGACTGAAGAGAATTTAATTTGACAAACAATTTTGGAAAATGCCGTATCCGATGCAACATCAATATCTGCTGTAATGAGTTCCATTATAACAAACTACATATATTGGTATGAAACTGTCATTTTTACGTTTTTTTTTTTTAAAAAACGTTCCAGTATGCAAGTAAAAACTTTGAGAAGACCCATAGTAGCAACACCTCTAGCATCTGGCAGGCTTCCTTTTAAGTGCACCTCAGCACTTCTTGATGTCTATTGAATTAGCATTATAAATGCCAACGTGTTCAGATACACAACTCCAAGGAAAACAAAAATCAGTTGCCTATAGTGTAGCATACCATAGGCATAGTGTTATTATACAGATATTCCCCTGACAAATGCTTCATCTCCATGGGGCAAAGAATAATATATACTGTGACAAAATGTATCACTTTGCCCTTCTCTTTTTACACATTCCCTTCACCTACCTCATTCTACTATTCAATATTACGTATCATGCAGTACCATCTCTCTCTGCATTCTGTTTATACATTATGTTTATAAACTGTGTTTATAAATGTTCAATATTATTTAGCACCTTTCAGAAGTGGAGGGTCCTGAAATTGCGTATAAAATAAAAGCTTACAGAACTTGCTTTACCCATGGCTGAAATGCAGCAGCTGCCCAAGTAAGCTAGTAACAATACATATCTATTTATGGTTTTAATTATGTTTTGTCTTAGGAATAGAGTAAAATGCAGTCTGATGAGTGTATGGAATTCAAAACTTCTTGGAGCACAGTTTTACAGCTTATTTTTTTTCCCCATTTCAAGCTATGGGTTGAAATCAACAATAGTTTGATAATTAATTGAAACTCATGCATAATCCTCACCCCATCAAAAATATTTTCTTCCCTCAT